ATAAGTGTATAATGTTGTGAGATTTAAGCTATTTAGTCTAAACATTTATGTTTTTGTGTTATAATTTGTGTTCATTCTAGACGAGGTTCAATTTGAGCAAAGATCATGCTGACTGGATTGAAGCAAAGTGATGTTCTCAGACTAATCAAATTTCAATCTGCATGGGTCTGATGGTTATCACTTTGTATGATGTCAATGTGGGGAAGTTTCATCCAGCATATGTGATTGCAACTGTGAAGCATCTGCAGGGTTATGTGATATGGGGATGCATCTCTGAACAGGTTATGAGATGTCTGGATTTTGTGAAAGGCACTGTCAATATTGGCAAGTGCATTGAGATCCTTGAGACCAGGTTAAAGCCAACAATTTGGGATCTCTTTGGTGGAACTGATCAGTACACATTCCAGAATGACCATACTCAATGCCACTAGCCCAAAAAAGATTGATAATATTCATGGTCTCTATGCAGTAAATGGGAAATAGAGAGGAATTTTCACTTTGTGTGTATTGAAAAGACATTTTAGGGTTTATATCATTGCTTCAGGTGAAGGACTATCATTGAAGTGAGAGGATAAAGACAACTGCTGGTCAGGCAACAATCCAGATCTCAACCTTATCAAAAACTGCTGGAAGGTAATGGGTAATGAAGTGATCGAGAATCACCTTGGAACTATAGGAAACCTTAATCAGCATGAGCATCATGAAATCAGCCTTGCCTAAATTCAGTCCCTCGCACACTCTATGCCCTAGCAATGTCAAGCAGTTATCAAGGCCAGAGGGGTCACAACCAAAGAAACAGACTCTGTTACCACTTTTTTGTCAATTACATCAGAGAACATTTTAGTATAAGCCTAGTATTTGTTGATCATCTGCTGTAATAGGTTTGTTGCAGTTGGTTTATTAATGAACATGCATATATGTGTTTGGATGATTGAAATACGAGTCAGCTTACACCACTCCATGTGCATAACTGTTTTACACAAGTTCTGACACTTCCACAATGCACGATCTCATAAAAAAATACAGGAACCAAAAAATGTGAAAACAATTGGGTGATGCAATAATTTTTTATACCACTGTAGAATGTTTTTCTGAAGTTTTACACCCAGTATTTTATACAATTATAAACAAAATTTAATGTGAGTGAGAAGAACTGCATGTCACTGAAACTTCTACAAGATGGTCAGTCATGATACCTTATCCTGAAGAAGGCTAAATTTGAACAGAACATTACTTCATAAGAAGTAAAAAATAACAAATCTTTTTAAAATCACTTTTTCATTTATTTAAAAAAACAATTGAATGAATGCAATTTTATGATAAAGCAGATAAATTAAATTCCTACATTTATAACTTAAACACATTTTACCTTCAGAAAGAGGTACAGATATTGTGACTCCATTGCCTGTTCCCATCCAGAGGCGATTACAAGAAACTAAAAGGGCTGTGATACGAATAAAAGAAAATCCTAGCTTGCCAGTACCTATGAAACAAGAATTGGCCTTAAAAAATATGTTTTGGGTGAAAATATGTATAGCATATGAAAAAAAAGTAAAAATATTTAGCAAACCAGAACTAATAATTTCTAAAGATGTTAGTGTCTAAAGTAACTAGTAATCCCACAGATATAAATAAGTAACGAAGATACAGATGAGTTTACACATGTAAGAAGATCTACAAATACATCTTCACAAACTTTTTCACACAACAGTCTTGATAACAAAATGTTCTTTATGAAACATCTTGAGCCCTCAACTCACAAAAACTCAGTCTTAAGTGAAGCATTTTAAACATTACCACAACTGTCCTGGAAACAATAGATATTCTTAATAAAACATACTGTTTCACAAAAACACAACTCAATCTTAAGTAAAGCATAATAAATCATAATAAAATGGTCCTCGCAACAAAATATATTCTTAATAAAACATCTCGACTCATTAAAACACTACTCAGGTGGCAGAGCATGAAAATCTTAATCTCAGAGTGATGGGTTCTTGCCCTAGGTACTAGATGAACAGAGTAAGTTCTACTTATAAGAGTATATACTAAACCACAAACTTCTATACCATGGAATCTCTAATTTCTATTTAAGGATCAGATTAATATTCTTATTCATAGTAATCCTGTGTTATTGAATTGAGTTGTTGATTATTACTGTTTTCTACTATTCCAACTGTCCAAGCAAATGAAATATTGCCATTATGATTTCTCATCATCATTATTTTTCATCTGGCTGTCACCATGTGCCATTTAAACACCACCTAGCACATTAAACTGTAACTAGTTTGATTTATTGTTTTCTTAGGGTATATATAAGTGTTTCTACAGTTTCTTCCAGCTTATACGATAAAATGTAAACATATTAATCATATTAATGTACATATTCTTTATAAACTTCTGACCACACCAACAGTTTCTTGTACAAAAGCTTACAGTATTTTTCATATTTATAAAGCTGTTAATTACTTGCTAAGTTTTTCATTAGAAAAAAATTGCTGAATGTCTGCAATTAAAGATTTTTTTATATTTTAATATTTCTTATAACACTTTGAGTTCCATCTTATGAATTATTTGAATCACTGAAAAGAGGTCATCTAGTATCATCACAAAGTTTTCTTGCTGTCTTTTTCTTTTCTAGGAAGAATCTTTCTAGTTTTATCACATGAAATTTAAGGACAATTACTTTTAAAAATCTGTAGTAGGGCAAAACTTGTGGAAGAGTATTAACCATATTTTCAGCCTGTTGCGGTTTTGTTCCATATTACATACATGATACATTTTCAAGTATAAAAATAACATAACACCAAGCTGTTGACTTGAAATTATCTATCATACTAAAAGGTAGTTCAAAAATATCTTAAAAAACCCATACAAGCTAAAAATATGAAGAATAGTCTCACATGAGAATAATCGATTTGTTGAATACAGTAGAACACTGTTAAGGTGCACGCTGATATAACACAGTCAGCATTTGGCTCCTGATTTTCTTAGAACACTGTTAAGGTGCACACTGATATAACACAGTCAGCATTTGGCTCCTGATTTTCTTAGAACACTGTTAAGGTGTACGCTGATATAACACAGTCAGCATTTGGCTCGTGATTTTCTTAGAACACTGTTAATGTGTACACTGATATAACACAGTCAGCATTTGGCTCCTGATTTTCTTAGAACACTGTTAATGTGTACGCTGATATAACACTGTCAGCATTTGGCTCCTCATTTTCTTAGAACACTGTTAATGTGTACGCTGATATAACACAGTCAGCATTTGGCCCGTGATTTTCTTAGAACACTGTTAAGGTGTACGCTGATATAACACAGTCAGCATTTGGCTCCTGATTTTATTAGAACACTGTTAAGGTGTACGCTGATATAACACTGTCAGCATTTGGCTCCTCATTTTCTATTACTTAATTTCCAAGTTTTCAACTGAGATTTTGGTGTGTAATTCAACAATTTTGTCAATTTTTCTTTAAAGGAATTGTCCTTGTCATGTTTGTTTTTGTAAGAAACCTTTCTAGTCACTTGACCAAAGCATGCTGCTTCCTAGAAAGCAGTACAGTATACAAGAAGTGAACAGAAGAGTAATTCTAACACAGCCTATGTCTTCTGACATTTTAAGGTAGTTTTTCTTAAATATGTGCATAGCCTTTGATTTTCATGATTTAATTAAACTTTTTTTTTGTAGCTAAGAAGCATACTAGACTTTGCTCTTAGCCAGAATGAGATAATCAACATTGGATGATTTAAAAAAAAAATAAACAACAGATTATCAACATTAGATAATTTAAAAAAAAAATAAACAACAGATTTTTGAGACATTTTACATGTTATTAAAGTTTTTTTTTATTGGCCGAAAATTTTAGGTGCTTGATTTTGCTTGTTTAAAATTAGGCCTATGAAATTTTATTGATGTTCAGCATTATATATTTGTTTTTTTTAAATTTGCACAAAGCTACAAAAGAGCTATCTGTGCTAGCTGTCCCTAATTTAGCAGTGAAAGACTAGAGGGAAGGCAGTTAGTCATCACCACCCACTTCGAACTCTTTGGCTATTCTTTTATCAAGGAATAGTGGGATTGACCATCACATTATAAAGCCCCCATGGGTGAAAGGGGAAGCATGCTTGGTGGGACAAGGATTTGAACCTACGACCCTCATATTGCGAGTCAAGCTCCCTAACCGCTTGGCCATGCTCAGCATTATATTTTCACATGTTTGTTCATGAAAAACTTTAAATGTTGTAATGCATTTAACCATGTCAACAGTGTATTTAATAAATACAATCATGTGATAATTTTGACATACCATAATTTATGTACCGATTTAACCATGCAAGAGATATAGAAAATGAGCATTTATGGGTACCCCAAAATAACATGATCCCACATTTAATATCATCACATTTCATGGATCCCAATTATCACATTATAATGGGGTTCCACTGTATAATCAGTTAATGAGTTCAACAATTAATCAATCAGTAAAATCCACTAATTGTCCAGCTCTATTATGTAAATTGATGTACTCTCTGTTGCTTATGAATGTATTTTGTTTATTTAAAAACTAACCAAGTTTTTATTAGATCCATTAATTGTTAAAGTAACTATCGTTCATTAGGTAGAACTACAAATAGAAAATGTGGATGTATATCTGCATGGCTAAACAGGCCTAATGGTGCCATTTTAGGCCTAGCTATATATTCAGTGAGAATAAGCCTGGAAACCAAATCTTATCTTGGTATAAATATCCCAGATAATTTACTCTAGATTAAGTAATAAACTACTTATCCATATCAAATTCCATTTATGTTTTGAATTACCTACTTCAAGCTGAATATTATGATATCGTAATAATGTGTAATATATAATGTAATTCACCTACCACAGACTTAGCACAATGATAAATAATAAATGACTTACTCATTTCTATCAAACTCAATGTTATTTACCTACCTGAAGCTTAGTATAATGATAAAAAATACTTATTACTTATCGATATCAAATTACATGTCGCCTGTGTTTTACCTACCCAGACCTAGTATGATGATAAATAATAAATAAACTATTTATTCGTATCAAATTCCATGTAGATTGATTTACCTATCCTAATCTTAGTATAATGATAAATAATAAATAAACTACTTATCCGTATCAAACTCCATGTATGTTGTGAATTACCAACCCATGATTTAGAACAATAATAAATAAAATACTTATCTGTATCAAACTCCATATACTTTGTGATTTGTATACCCCAGTCTTAGTATAATATATAAAAAAAGATAAATGAAACAGGTACAATACTTTAGTACTCTAAAATTCCATTATTTGGTTCTTACATTCTAAAAAAATATTTATAACATAATTATGGCTAAATACTAAGCCTATAATTCATAAGTATTTATTAACTGAAAAATAATTTATAGTGTTACGACAGCGGAAGTCACGTGATGCTGGTAACAGGTAATGAGTATCTAGAAGGTTCCTGAAGGCTCGAGCGTTCGCCAGACGCCCTCTATTTTGTATATATAAGACCGGCAAGAAGTGACGGAATGAAAAATTGCAGACAGGCAGAGATAGAGACGGACAATTGAGTCAAGCGCGGTAGTAACCGTAAGTAAAGTGCGTGAATCGTTGTGAATTATAGCATGTGTTTAAGTTAAAGTGACTGTGGAAATTAAGTGTATTGCAAAGTTGTATTGAGAAAGAATAAACTAGTTTTATTTAAGAAAGGACTTGTGTCGCTAAAGTTTCATCCGAAAGAAATTATATGGGAAATTAACAAGCGACCAGAGATGTAACAATAGAAATGACTAGAATATAGCTTATTATAAGTCTAAAATGTCTAATTCTAGGTGTTGAATTTAAAATACTTATGAAACCAATAATCTAAGGCTAATACCTGCAAGTTAAAAGTTTTAGTTATAAGCTTTCATAACAGTCTATAAGGCCTAACACAATAACCTTCAAATACCCAGGTCTTTTTGAAAATTTGAGCTCTGAATAAAACATTTCTAAAATTGAGGCCTAAACAGCATTTAACGAAATCTAAGTTTTAGTGTTTGATGTTAGAGTATGCTCAGTGTGATACCTAAAGTGATACTTTTAAATTAATAGTAACTAACATAATTAATATTTATCACTAAAGCTATTATCAGTACATTGTAACACTATACTGTGCCTATAACTAAACAGGTGTATGTAGTGTACACAAGAAACACAAACTGTGTACCAAAACTGAAACATGATAACTGCATTAGTTAAAGCACAGGATTTACTTCCTCCAATAATCTTCTCAAGGTTCTACCATTAATAATGCCAAATTCAATGATCTGTGGGAAACTTACCAATTCCTGTCTTTCTAATTCACATACTGTGTTATTCATAAAAATATTCCATGGAATATTATATATGTTGTGTGTGTTTTGAATAATGATAAAGTATTAAAATAATAATATCTGTGTTATCGCAAGAGC